CTCAAGAAAAAGACCTTTGTCGTCAAAACCCCTCACTTCGCGCTTATCCGTCACCCTCTCATCCATGTCGCTCACGCTTCAGAAGTCTCCTCTAAAGCGACACTCTATTGACAAGGGGAAGACGCCTCAACTCAACGTTTTCACATCCCAAAGCAATCTTAGCACATAACTCACGTGATAAGTCACTAGCCTCATAGCTTTGGCAGTTATCAACTGAGCTTGCTTTGATAATGGACATACCCAACAATGCGAATGCTGTCTCAACTCAGCCTACGCCGAATCAGATGTGTCACGTATCATCCAATTATCAATAGATACTTAGGATAACAAGATTCTCGTTGAGACCACTATTGTAGGCGTCAAAGTACTGAAGCGTATAGCTAAACACTTCCTTCCTCAAGTAAACCGCACATATGCTTATAATCAACGCTTCACGCTAAGACCATAATTTTCAAGACATCTCCAACGATAGTCAAGGCATCAAGCATCCGACCATGTACTTCGAAACAATACTTCCCTTTTGCCTAGTTCTCACTTTCCCATACCCGGATGTCGTTCCACCAGGGACAACGGCAGGCAACCATTATCCCCCCCCGGCAACGGCGCCACCTGTTGAGTGCATCGGTCCGGCACCACTCAAGGGCATCGCGGGACCCTCTCGGCCGTGTCCTCTTCTTACTTCCCTGTCATCTCCTGACGCGCCAGCCCACTCGGTTCGTTGTCGCCTCCCTCACCCCAACGGCGCTCTGTCGATAACTCCGGCCGCCTCACTTGGTGTGGCCGTAGCACCCAATAGCCGTAGGTCCCACACTGCCATCCGATCACCCCTCTGGCCTGCCCACAGAGAACTCCACCATGGGGCAACAACTAGCCGGTCTTACGACTCCCGACTCCGATATCCGAATCCGGTGAAAAACAATTTCCTCGTTTTGTACTATTGCGCTCCCCCATGGTGCCCTTTCGCTCCGCTGCCCCGCTCCACCGTCTTAGCGCCTGGTCGCACTCTGCGTAGCCGGCCTCCCCTGTGACTCTGCACTCCGCCCGTAGGTACCCAGCCCCACTTCACGTCTAAGTTCGCCCTGCCCCTGTTGGTTGATGCAGCTCCCACATGTTCCTTCGTTGGAAGCTTGAGCACAGATGTGGCTGCTACGGGGCTCCCCTTAATGCCATAAAGGGGCAACTTTGGCGTAGTCGCGAAAACAGTTCGTAATCGCACCGCCGGCAGCCATGAGAATACAACATACCCCCACGCGACCTCAGTGAGCCGGTTTTCTAAGTCAAAGGTACAAAAGGCGGTAATAATAATAATATTAAACCTACCAATGCATAAATATACGAGGGAAAACCCCAAAATTAGGGGGACGATGGGGCGCGCGTCCCTCTGGCCTATAACGCTGCGCACACCCTACCCGCGCAGGGTTGCACCCCATCGCCAACGCACCTCTCATGCCACGTATGCCCAATCTACGCATGGCTGCACCTAGCCGTTGACACCCGACTTGCGGCACTCAACTACGGACAAGGCCGCACCGACGTGGCCTGCAAAAAGCACACCAAATACCCTTGTAAGGGTATTTGGTACGACAACGCGCGCGCGTTATGGACTACGAGGTGGTGGGCCTCGTTCAAGGAACCCCGAAAGTGCAAAAAAAAAACTCCCCCCCGAGGCCTAGCCCCCCTACCACGTCACCCCCCACCATATGTGAAAGGTCCTTTTTTTGGGGGGGGGCGGGCAGGGGAATCCTCCTAAGACGACTCAGACGGCCCATGCAGGTTATCTGAAGGGTCCTTGCAGCCATGTAGCGCAGACCCCCCCACCAAAATCAAGGCGGGCAGTGAGTATGAAGTAGAGCTCGAACTGGCCGAATATATACTCAAGATTCGACTTCAGGTCTGTGTTTCAGCCGTTATGGGTTGCTCACGTAGCTAGGGCCTGCTGGTCTCTGCACGTGACTCTTAGGGCTTTGCTGCACTACTCACCAAAAGTGCAAAACTAGAATGAATCTTCTGTAGAACATGGAATACTACGCCGCCATATGTTTTGTCTTTTGTGCATGTGGTGAGTACAGGCACTTAGGGCCACTGCACGTATTCCTAAGAAAAGAAAAACCAGAAAAAAAGAAAAACGAGAAAAAAGAAAAATGAGAAAAAAGAAAAACGAGAAAAAAGAAAACAAGAAAAAAGACAAAACATATGGCGGCGTATCATTCCATGTTCTGCAGAAGATTCATTCTAGTTTTGCACATTTGGTGAGTAGTGCAGCCAAACCCTAAGAGTCACGTGCAGAGACCAGCAGGCCCTAGCTACGTGAGCAACCCATAACTGCTGAAACACAGACCTGAAGT